GAGAATTGGGTGAATCTAATTTAAAACTTTTAAAAGGAAGAGGTTTGAATCTATGTATGTCTTTAAACTTTATGGAGAGATGCACTCTTTCGAGGATTGAAAAGACTCATAAAGACTCTTTCTAGGATTGAAACCACATAATTCCCATTAACACTATAATGTTTATATTTCTGTTTTGAGAAGAGTGCACATTTCAACTAAGGGTTATTCCTTAGTTGGGATAAACAGGGCTCTGATCATTAAGCTTTACAGCCTCTGGGTTTATTCTCTGGGATTCATCCATAGGATCCTGACATTCTACTTCTTACCTGTTTGAAAGCCTTGAAGAAGGCTACTCAAGGGCACCTGGTGAATCAGTACTCCTCAGGGGCAGATGCCATTGAGTTATATGAGAGAAGAGTCTGGCTCATGGAACTAAGTAATTATATGGAAATTTATTCTTCACTAGCCCAGATGGGGTTTTGTTTCACTGTTTTTCAATTTTGGGTGGGGGAAGCACAACAAAATAAACCCACAAGGACACTGTGAAAGCCTCCATGTTACAGTCTGGAAGTGATCAATCTAAAGATGCAAAAGTCAGCAGGTTTGGTATTCAGGATTTTCATGGTCATATTTAACTTGTCTTCATGGTACACAAGTATATTCTAGGTTATTGTCCTTGTATGGAATCACTGCTAAACATGTATTCTTTTTGGTTATTTTGTCTATTGGCCTTGAATGTTGGAGCAAGTTAACACTGAAGTGAATTTTGAGTACCTCCTCACTTTGGATTGTGGGTAAAATAGCCTTCAGGGAAGTGGGGTGGTGGAGGATTGGTCCTGAAATGCTGGAGAGCTTTTAACTACTTATAGCATTACATTTTTTTTATAGCATTACATTTTAATCATTACTCAGAAGTGGGGCCCCTAGTGGTTCAGATGGTAAAGAATCCATTTGTAATGCAGGATACCTGGATGTGATCCCTGGGTTGGGAAGATCCCCTGGAGAAGGGAATGGCTACTTGGAGAATTCCATGGACAGAGGAGCCTGGTGGGCTACATACACTCCATAGGGTCTCAAAGTTTGGGACACGACTGAGTGACTTCACACTTCAGAAGAATTAAGATCTCTGAGGACAATGAGAATAACACCCATTTACCTGTTTGTATTCAATTTCACTTTGCTGGATCTGATCTGAGGAGAGATGGAGACATGGGGCATCTTATTTGCATCCCAAGTGGGGAGTGAGAAGGAAGGGGCAGATAGTTCAGAGAGGAAACAGTTGATTTAGCCTTTGAGATATAGACCTAGTGGGTGTCCAGTGCTCCACCATTCACAGCCTTAGAGACTCAAATAGCCTGTTACATTTGGGCAGTTGGCTGTGATGTAATGCTCCCTAGAGCGTAGAGTGGCCAGGATGCTCAGCTCCATGAACAGGGGCCAACCCACAACAGCCATCCCCACTAGGACCCAATCTTTCCCAGCGTCATGGTCTTTTCCAATGAGTCAGCTGTTCAACATCAGGTGGCCAAAGTACTGGAGCTTCATCTTCAGCATCAGTCCTACCAATGAATATTCAGGGTTGATTTCCTTTAGGATCAACTGTTTGATCTCCTTGCTGTCCAAGAGGATAACATATATTATTTCATCCATTTCTCTGAACATGCTTACAATGCTGATATTAAAAATTCCATCTATGTGGAGAAGCCCACTTGCCAAGGTCCCATCATTAGAAAGACCACTGGGATTAGAACTGGGTTTGTTTGACTTTACAGCCCCTGTTCATCCATTAAATAAAGTTTAAGTCAACACTCTTAGAGCATTCCAGACCTGGCTGTACAGAGCAGATGGGGACAAAGACAAGGCTACACAGGAAAGGGAGGCATGATTTCCTTTGAGAGACAGCTCTGACTGCTGTGTATCAGAGAGGCCTGGCCTCCCACTCGGCCCTGGCTCTTCTGGGTTGAGAGGCCTCTAGGAAGCTAAGTGTTGAAATGCACAAGGAGGGCAGCTTGCCTCCTTATGCTTATTTAGCACTTTGCTGGCACTCCCAATCTTGTTTAACAGCTGACGAGCTGTTAGATCATAAGAGAGTAAAGACTTCTCAATATCTTGGTTTGCTTCTCAGCACAACGAATGCTTCTCTCGTTTGTGTGGACCTGGAAAAAATGGCTGTTATCTTTATTGATCATTTTAAGTACATAAGAGCATTTCTTCAAAGTGGATGGAAGCAAAGTGACTTTCTCTCGAACAGGCTTGCTCTCCCCCTTCAAACACTAGTTTGTATGGGGGCTCTCACCCCTTGAAGCTCAGCAGGCCACCAAGCCTCATTTTCAGTGAGTGTCATTTAAAAGCCAGAGCAAGCTGACTACAAACTTTTTAACATGTGCCCCTCATCTGCTCGGCAGAGATCCCTGTAACTTGTTAATAGTTCCCTTCTTATTTTTTTCTAGTGAAACCAATTGAGGCTTTAAATCAGTACCATTCGTTCCATCATGGGCCATCCGAGAAAAGCATTTAGAGTTATAAAAAGTCATCTGCTCCATCTTGCACTTCCTGCTGCAGGGCTTGAGCTTGGCCTGGTGGAGCGTATACCTATGAGGGGATGGTACGGCATGCCGAGCAGGGGTCTCTTCCAGGACCACATAAACACCAGAGCTGGAAGAGCCAGGATGGACTTTCAAAGAGAGGAGACCAGACACACAGCCCATAAAACACAGAGCTCTTTACAGCTGGAGTCGAGTTTCTCCACTTTTGCCATAGCATTTATTTCACTGACATGCCTGGCAGTTAGGGTGGAAGAGAGAGAAAAAAGTGGAGGATGCCTCAGAGAGGAACCACATGCTTACAGAAAATGAACCCCTGAGCTTCATGCAAGGCTCCGTAAACTGGGCCACTCAGTGGTACAAAATTAAGAAGCGTATTCTCGCTCATCCTTTTGTTTCCCCTTCAAGAACTTCTTCATTGTGTTTAAGTGACTCCTGGGAAAGTACTTGTTACTAGCAATTCACACTTTAACAGAAACGTCATCCGCCAGACATAAATATAATTCTGAGAAGGACAGAAACTGAAGCCTATCAGTTCGAGCCCTTGTTTCACAGGTGAGATTTAAGATGTAGCTTGCCTTGCCTGTGGATGGGAGCTGGATGGAGGCCAGTGAACCTGGAATCAGGTTTGATGCCCTTCTTTCTATGGTCAGCTCTGGCTCACTTCTCTCAGAGGTATTTACACTGTTGGTCTTATCTCAGTTTGTGGAATAAACATCTTTTTACCTATCTTGAGAGAATTTTCCTGATGCTGGGAAAGGTTGAGGGCAGGAGCAGAAATGGGCAGCAGAGGATGAGATGGTTGAATGGCATCACTGACTCCATGGACATGAGTTTGAGCCAACTGCAGGAGATAGTGAAGGACAGGGAAGCCTGGTGTGCTGCAGTCAGTGGGGTCGCAAAAAGTCAGATATGACTTAGTGACTGAACAACATCAAAGAGAATTTAAGATTTAAACAAGAAACAAAGAAGGAGAATTTCCTGAAATGATTCTACAATCAGGAGCTATTGATATCTAAATCCAGTTCTATCTGGGAAAATTCTTTTGACCAAGCAAGAGATGTTGTTGGTTGGGCTTTGTAAAAAATTAACTTTGAAAAAACTATTAACAAGAGCTAAATTTATGCTTCTACAGCCAAAACTACTCTAATACTTGTGAAGGTAGGCTAAGACTTTTTTTACCCCCTGTGCTTAAAAATTAACTTTGGGTTTCTCTTTGATGTATCTGCCTCTCAACTTGCATATGTGGACCTTCTTCATTTGTACATTGTGGGTGGCTTCTTTGGATCCCATTATCTCTAGAATCCTGCTAGTGTTCTGCACATTTTCCCCTCACTGACAAAAACCTTATTTCTGCTCCTTTCCATGTTAAAGTTCCTTTACTCTTGTATAGCAGCTCAAGTTCAAGGAGTCCTAGGATGAGTTGTGGATGACCTAAAGGGTACAGTGCTCCTTGAGGAATCACAGCTCTCAACAATTCTGGGCAAGTCCCAACCTTGCCCTGAAAGAGAAGTTCCATGAGGGGAGAGTCCCAATGGGAGACGAAGTAGCTGCTCCTTCTGGAATTCACATGAAAGGTTCAGCAGTCCTGACACTCATCACTGCTTCCAGGAGATGGGACAGGAAGTGGGTGCAGCACTGCTCTTCACAGTCTGGAAAAGGGGAGGCTTAGAAAGGTCATTTTTGACCTTCTTTAACTACTTGAGGGCTTCCCTGGTGGCTCAGATGGTAAAGAATTCACCTGTAATGTAGGAGACCTGGGTTTGATCCCTGGGTTGGGTGGGAAGATCCTCTGGAGAGGGAAATGGCAACCCACTCCAGTATTCTTGCTTGGAAAATCCCAATGGACAGAGGAGCCTGGTGGGCTACAGGCCATGGGATCACCAAGAATTGGACATGACTGAGCGACTTACACTTTCACTTTCAAACTACCTGAGAACACATTTGGCGTAGATTGGGTTGAACTGGCTCTTTGTCTATCGGTGCATCAGCCACCAACGTAGTTCTAACATCTGCCGTATTACAGCAGCTCTCTCAAATAAAATTCAGCGATTTTAGGAGACAAAATGGTCCTGGACATCATCTAACCAAAGAGTGGTCCCTGGACCGGCAGCCTCAGGGTCACTTGACAACTTGCTGCAAATCGTCAGGCCTTGTCCCAGACCTTGGTTTTGTTCAGTCGCTAAGCTGTGTTTGACTCTGCAACCCCATAGACTGTAGACCATGAGTCTCCTCTGTCCATGAGATTTTCAGGCAAAAATACTGACGTGGTTGCTATTTCCTATTCCAGGTGATCTTGTTGACCATTCCTGGGTGTCCTGCATTGGCAGGTGGATTCTCTCCCACTGAGCTACCGGGGAGGCCTGTCTCAGACCTACAGAATGAGAATTCTGGGGGTGGAATGAGTGATCTGTGTTCTAACAAGCCTTTCAGGTGGTTCTCATGTCTCAAAAGAATTTATGTTTTATTTTCCAGGGGGCAGCACAGGCACTTCCCCAACCACCTCCAGCACTGGGACACCATCCCCTTCAGCTTCTTCTCATCTTTTATCTCCATCCTGTTCTCCTCCAACGTTTCATCTGGCCCCCAACACTTTCAACGTGGGCTGCCGAGAGAGCCAGCTGTGTAATCTAAACCTCTCCGATTATCCGCCGTGTGCGCGAAGCAACATGGCTGCCTTGCAGAGCTACCCAGGGCTGAGTGACAGTGGCTACAACAGGCTCCAGAGCGGCACCACTTCGGCTGCTCAGCCCTCCGAAACCTTCATGCCTCAGAGGACTCCATCCCTGATCTCAGGAATACCAACTCCTCCCTCGTTGCCTAGCAACAGCAAGATGGAAGCCTACGGTGGCCAGCTGGGGTCCTTCCCTACTTCCCAGTTTCAGTATGTCATGCAGGCAGGCAATGCAGCTTCCAGCTCCTCATCACCACACATGTTCGGGGGCAGCCACATGCAGCAGAGCTCCTACAATGCCTTCTCTCTCCACAATCCTTATAATCTGTATGGATACAATTTCCCTACTTCCCCTAGGCTAGCTGCAAGCCCGGAAAAACTGAGCGCCTCTCAAAGCACTTTACTCTGTTCTTCTCCTTCCAATGGGGCCTTTGGAGAGCGGCAGTACCTGCCTACGGGGATGGAGCACGGCATGCACATGATTAGCCCTTCACCCAATAATCAGCAGGCGACTAACACCTGTGACGGCCGGCAGTATGGGGCGGTCCCAGGCTCCTCCTCCCAGATGTCTGTTCACATGGTTTAGTGGCCAGTCCCAGCACCGTGGAGCCAACAGCAGCCGAGGCAGATCCAGAGTCTCCAGGGGCAGATCCTCCTCTGTGGGAGCCCAACGCCTTTGAAAAACAGGAACTGTGTATTATTATTATTATTACTTTCTGGAGGAGGAAAGCACATACCCAACGACAACAAGAGACACTTAAAGCCACTGAAGGAATACTTGCAGTGGAATCATCTCTGACTCAGCGGCCATTCTCCTGCCTTCCCAAATCTTAGCATCGTCTACTCAGAGTGGCCTTTGAAGAAACTGAATAATCGTTTTATAATAATGTTAAGGGAGATGCTAGCATGTAGCAGCCATGAAAAGTTACCCACACACAGATACAGACCTACCTTTACATACACACATACATATGTGCATGCATACACACACAGACATAAATATATTCATACACAAACTCATCCATACACAAACATACATGCACACTGACTCGGAACTGGGTGAACTCTGTGGAGGGAAGCCCAGCATGGGTGCTTTCACCAAAAATTTGTCTCTGTACAACAGTAGACAGACTGGGTCAGCAGTAGCTGCCTGCCAACGTTTCTTCCCTGCAGCTTACCCTTTTTCTGGAATGAACCATGTATCCTGAAACCCCTTCCCATCAATGGGGGTAGAAAGACATCAGTACTACAACTGGACTTGGCTTCCTGAAAAAGATGGCTTTTGAACTTTGGCTCTCTTCGGTTGGTGTGCTAGCATTGATGTTTCCAGTGGTGCCTGTGAAAAGAGGGAGTAAGAGCAGCTGAAAGAGAGAGAGAAGGAGAAAGAATAGAGAGTAAGAGAGAGGTGGAGAACAAGACTGAATGAGGAAGTGAGAGCAGTGATGAGAGTTTTAATTCACCGAGGAAATGGGTTTGGTCCCCACCCCTATCCCCCAGGGTATGGAAGAGCCGTGGAGTTGTTGAGGAGTAAACCTCTCTGGGACGCTATACATGGTCAGGGCATGGGTGAGAGGCACCCAGGCGAGGCATGAGTCTCAGTCCCACAGTTCTGACCACCGTGAGCCAGAAGAGAAGGGCACCACACAGGAAGTGCTGATTCCAGAGCATGCAGCCTGGCAGGGGAAGGGAAGCAGAAGGAGTGTGAGAAAGGAAGAGTTTTATAACCTCAACAGATGATACCTAGAACCGAGGCAACACAGGGAGGTCTGGCCTCCCGAATGCCAGATCCAGATGCCTGACCTGGATTGCCTGCCCCATCTCCCCTGTGGCAGGAGGAGTCCTGTCACCTTCCAGAGAATTGAGAATGGGCCTTCTAGAATACATTCTTTCACCTGCTCTTAGATCGCCACTTTTTTTTTTAATCAAATAGTTCATTGCAATTTTGAAGTTTTGGATTTTTCCTTTCATCTTTCCCTTCCCCTTCAAATCTTTTAATGATAAGAAAAGTGAAGTTTGGTGCCAGCTAAACTTTTTAAGTGGTGTGGAAATGCAGATAGTACCAAGTAAAAGAATTCAGATATTACTAAGATTTTTTTGGTTTTGAGGTGTTGTAGATAAATGTATTTATGTGCCTAGTGGGGAATCCAATATTATGAATATTAAAAAAGGGGGCAATAAAAAGGGTATGTAAAATATGTATGAAGAAAAGGTGTATAAAAATTTGCCCTTATGCACGGAACTCTGTTTCTAAGTGCCAAGCACAGAAAGCCGCTAAATAAAATCTTTGCAATTGTTTTCTGCGTATCCGTTCGTATGGAATGAGCAAGCAGCAGCCCATGCCTTTGAACTAACTGTGCTATGCAGAAGCACAGTGTTCTCATCTCTGCTACTTAACATGACCTTTGTTCAGAACACATGGAGTCTGTGTTACCATCCTCATTTTATGATCAGTGACTATGCTTCCGAGGGACTGATTTATCCAGGTCACACAGCCCGACAGAGAGAAAACTAGGACATGAAGCCAGGACTGTAGTGGGATACCTGGTTTCATGTTAGCTGCAAAAACCTGTGAGTCAGCTGCTGTAGAACACGGGGAGCTCAGCCCGGTGCTCTGCGAGGACCTAGAGAGGTGGGGCTGGAGGGGTGGGAGGGGATGTATGTATAATCATAGCTGGTTCACACTGTACAGCAAAAGCCAACACGACATTGTAAAGCAATTATCCTCCAGTTAAAAATAAAATTTTTAAAATAAAAAAAATAATGTATTTCATGAAAAGTTGTAGAAATAAGAATAAATCTATATGCCATTTTTTAAAAAACAAAGCCTGTGAGTCTAATAGCAATCCTCATTGTAGCTAAGTGCCAGATATTACACCATGTGTCTTACATAGATAGTTCATCCAACCCTCCCACAATTCTATAGTGGGTATTATTTTTATGATCATATTATAGATTTGGAAACCAACTTAAAAGAGTTAGTCTTCGACCAAGGCCCTCAGGTAGCTAGTGATTAAGCTGGCAATTTGACCTCAGGGTCTGTGTGATTAGCATTATGCCTTTCTGCTGGAGCCCCAGCAGACTCAGGATGCTCCGGGACCATCAGGAAAGAATTCTGAAGGGTTGGGGCCAGAGTTTCTCTGAGGCAGAATTTACTTAGAATGTTTAATCATAAATGTATATCCTCCCTCTTGAATGTCCCTCCCGGCATAAGAGGAGTGATTTTGAGTTGTTAGGCATCAGACGACTTTTTAAGAGACTAATAACGTGCCCAGGGCTATTCCATTTGTAAGCATTTACATATCATCTCATTGGAGCCTCATAATAATGGTGAGAGGTGAAAAGGGCAGAAACTATTGTTTTGCAAATGGAAGGCTAGGAGTTTGAAGGTTGGGCTCTGTCCATACATAAATGTCACTGGGAAGCCATAGTTCAGTTCAGTTCAGTCACTCAGTTGGGTCCAGCTCTTTGCAATCCCGTGGACTGCAGCATGCCAGGCTTCCCTGTCCATCACCAACTCCTGGAGCCTACTCAGACTCATGTCCATCGTGTCGGTGATGCCATCCAACCATCTCATTCTCTTTCATCCCCTTCTCCTGCCTTCAATCTTTCCCAGCTTCAGGGTCTTTTCAAATGAGTCAGTTCTTCACATCAGGTGGCCAAACTATTGGAGTTTCAGCTTCAGCATCAGTTCTTCAGGACTTAAAGCCTCCTGCTCTTACACCTACCTCAGACTCTTTCCCAGCAGACAGTTACACTGGAAGTTCACTGACCCATTTCACCAGGGCTTGATTTTGTGGGGGTGAAGTTGCTGGACCACCACTCTTTCAGTGGAAATGGAGCTTGGGTTGGGAAAACAAAACTTCAGCCATGGCTTTGGTTTAATGAATAATTTCAAAGAGTGGCCAGTTAACTCCATTAGCCATCAGCTCAGTTGTGTCTGACTCTTTTGTGACCCCATGGACTGTAGCCTGCCAGGCTTCTTTGTCCATTGAAATTTTCCAGGCAAGAGTACTGGAGTGGTTTGCATTTTCTGCTGCAGGGGATCTTCCTGACCCAGCAATCAAACCTGCATATGTCTCCTGCATTGGCAGGCTGGTTCTTTACCACTGTGCCCCCTGGGAAGCCCAATTAGCCTTCAGATCATTGCTAAAATAGTCTGGACAGTAGCTGATTGAGTATCTTCAAGGATTGTAAGCTCTCTGGGTGACATCTCAAAATATAAAAAGACACTCCTATTTGAAAATCTAGCAGTCAACACTTGGTTTCACAGTGGTAGACCAAGAACAACAATATACGAAGCTTATTGTTATTTCTTACTGATTTAGCAGCATACCAAATATTGTTCACTGGTCTACCAGTGTTTGAGGTTTTAGGTAATAGGAAAGCATAATATACTGAACAACAAATGACACAGAAGCTCCATATTTTCATTTAATAATAAAAATAATTTCTTACCTTATTTTTTCTTATTAAAGGACAATAATCATGCAAGAGTATTAAGTACAGAAAATATCTATAATTTGGATAAATTAGAACAGTCCAAGTTGGTTACATTTGAATTATGGCATATATTTCTCTCTGTAACTGAGAAAGTAATAAAAAAAAAAAAACTTTCAACACAAACTGGATAAGGATTGTCAAGAATATACTCTACCCTATTATTTTTAATGAAATGATGAAAGCTTGTTTTAATTGGCACAATGGTTGCATACAAAGGGCTATTGAAAGATTACCCTTCTTTGTGTTAAGATGCTCATGTTTTTGCGAAAAGGCTGTCTTGCTCCCCTTTGATTCTGAAGGCCCAGGATGAATCCTAATACATAGTCATTCTTATTGTTGAATTTATTGGCCAAACCAATTTTTTCAATAGTGCAAAATGGTTACATGGCTGAATTCACTCCAAATTAATAGGACCCAAATTAAAGATTTATTATTTTTCACACAGTGTTCTGTGACAGATTAATGAAAATTTACCTTAGATTCTAGCTTGACAGACTCCATTACACATAATACGGGACTTAAAAAAAATACATGTTATAGTTTTGTCCTTGAAAGTGTTCACTTTTCAGGCAGTCATGCACATGTGAGGCAAGTGATATACAAGTCTCTCAAAACTCAATGAAGATTTTCAGTGTAAGAAGGTGAAGTTAGGATTGTTTCCACTGCAGAGGTAGAACTTGATTATTTGGACATTGAAATGAACAATTAAACTTGATCCTGTCTTCAGGGAGCTCATGATCTGGTGTGAGAGTGACATAGAATATGCTAGCAAACGAATAATGTAATTTCAGATTGCAAACATCGTTTTGAGGAAATGTAAAATAAAAAGATGATAGAGAATGATTGGGGAATGAGGATGAAGGCTTATTCATCCTTAGTAACCCCTGAAGACAGGGTTACTAAGAGGGCTGGGGCTTCGCAGGTGACACCTGTGGTAAAGAACCCGCCTCCCAATGCAGGAAATGTAAAAGACCCAGGTTTGATCCCTGGGTCGGGAAGATCCCCTGGAGGAGGGCATGGCAACGCACTCCTTTTTTCTTGCCTGGAGAATCCCTACAGACAGTAGCCCTCCAGGCTCCTCTGTCC